ATTGCCCATGAAACACAAACATGAGACTCAGTGCCAACGTGGAGTTCATTGAGAGAGGGGAGAGGAAGTGGGGAATAGCTGGTGGCCAACCAAAAGCAGGAGAGGGAGAGAAGAGAGAGAGAGAAGGGGAGAGAGAGAACCAAGAGAGAGACGCACTTGGCGTGCTTGCTTTAAAAGGGAAACTTGCACATGCGTGACTGAGTCCCCTGGCAGCCAGGTAAAGCTTGAGCAGCCAGGTAGGTCATGATGTAGAGAAGACATGGCCATGAGCATCCCGCCCATCATCAGGGGGCGGGGTCAGTAGACTGCTGGTTCCCAATACCTGAAGTTCATTGACTGGTCAGCTTTGCTGTACTGAAAAGCTTTATATTTAGTAAAAGGCCTTGTACCAAAAATAAAGCTGTTAAATCTAGGAGGCTGTGAGGTCAATACAGAAGGAATCAGGAAAATGACAGCCACTAACATTAAAATTACTTGATACACTGTCTCAAGGAATCATATTACTTTATATTCGAAGTTTGGCTACATGAGCTGACAATGCCTACTACAAGAACTACTACACAAGCTCCAGTAATAGGTACAATAAACCTCCTTTAGATTAATTGATCAGGGTAGTTCAAGTAACACCCAAAACAGTATAGACTATTGATATAGTCCTTGGTTACTTCTCATAGGTTGAAGGTAAGACCCTGTTGCTATAGAAAATGCAAAATTAGGATGGAGGATTGGGGTGATTCAATCTGGATTTATTTTGAAAGGCTCCTTTCTGTGATCTGGCTTCCATGATACCAGAAATTACTATGCAAGCTTCCAAGGATGAGAAGTAATTAATAGTCCTACCCAGTTGCAACACCTATCAATCACAATAATGACCAGCATGGAAAGATGTCCATAAAGGTTTAATACATGACAGGCAGAGGTTGGTGGTAACTAGCAGCTGTCTAATTAAGTCAGACTCATGAGGAGTAAACTCATACCTGGTGCTAGAAACCTAGACAGTTTCCCTGGGCTAGTGAAGCCATGGATCTTAAAAAAAAAAAAAAAAAAAAAATAATCTACTGCCATCACATTGCTAGACCAGCACAATCTCTTACTACATTCTATTTTTTTTTTTCACATGAGCATGTAGGGACCAACTTTCCTGAAATACCCCTGTAATAGGATAAACCCAGGCCTAGTGGTTCTACCGTTCACGTAACACTGGGAGAACACCCTAGTGGGAATTGCCTATGAATTCTGCTCTAGTCATTCCTATCAGGAATGAAAAAGTTACGGAGGACTGTCTCTCCTTTGTACAGACTTCCATAAATAGTGTCTGCTGCTCAGGTTTTTATGCAATTACCTCAGGCAGCAACTATCTTCTCTTTTCGCTGTGTACAGGTGAGCAAACACCCTTGCAAGTGAATAAAGAACATGAAGGGTAATAGAACTAAATCACGGATGTCCACAGATGTAAGTTTTGCTTTGTTTCTGTTTTTGGAGACAGGGTCCCATACTTAGACCTGGGCTGTCCTGGAACTAGCTATGTGGCCAAAGCCAGCTTGGCACTCATAGATAGCTATCTGCCTCTGCATCCAGAGGGCTAGGTGAACAGGGACACAGTACACCCATCTCCCATGTAGATTTGAAATGCCACCTTGTCATAATAGAGGACAAACATCTAATGATGCTGCCAAAAGAGTCTTCATAGGACAACGTTTTGCTCCTGTCATTTAAATCTTCTTTTCTCACAATTAATATAAAAGATAGTAAAACAAGGCGCCTTGAAAACTACATACTGTGTATGAAATTCCTGGATGTTTATGGCTCTTTCGCTTTATGGTGATAATAAACTTTTAAGTTCAGAATAGAAACATTACTATAGTTTTTTTTCCCTGTATTTTAATTGGAGATGAGAGCTGTTCGATGATTGTTAACTACAAGTATTGAGAAGAATGAACTTTTCCGGGAGAATAAGTTCAGGGTACTCAACTGTGTACCTAATGTGCTGTGACCTCTAGTTTACAATTTCAGAAACTGAACTGAACATGTCTGACTAGGAACATGTGTTTAATCTGTGTACTAAGGAAAACTAGAATGATAAACATTTATGAGCGCTCTCTGCCACCATAGCATCTAATTTGACCTTGGGCGGCTGTGCAAAGGCTTGACCTGGAGTATCTCCAGAAAGTTCCCGAAGGAAGTGCTTTTCCCCCAAGAGGTCCATGATATCTGACTGCTCTTTTAGTACCAGGGAAGAAATAGGGAGTCATCTTCATTTAGGGTGAATTGAAGTCCCTTCTCAGGGAGAAGGCTGCTTGGGAGGCAAAGTCATAAGCTTACCATGATGGACTTGACAAGAGTAAAGAGCAAAGGTAAGCATCAATTCCAGGCTCAACCCACCCCTCGGGCCCAAAGGGCAGTGTACTACCAGCATTACTGACTTTATCTTGACTGGCTTCTGTAACATTCAGAAGTGTTGCAAGCTTCACAGCTCTAACTTTTCTATCATGCCTCTACAATTGCCGTCAGTTACCACTGCAATGACGAGGCAGAAATGATCCTGTTCTATCGGGGTTGGGTGGCTCTGCAAAAGCACCATAGCACAAAGCTTGACATTTGAGTGCCATCTAGAAATGAGTTTTATTGAAAACTATGTTCAATTTTGGAATGAGACTTTGAGGCTAGATGGGAAGTCAACGGGAAAGAATGATAGGGTTATCAGCAATGTCCAGAATGGATAGTCTGGAATTGGGGAAACACAAGCATAATGAAATTTATAACATATTTAGAGAGCCAGCGTTGATCTATATACTTGTAGACCCACCATGACTTAGACACACTTACCAGCAGAAAGAAAAAAAATCCCTCTATGCAAGCAAGAGTACTCAAAATGATAGAAGACAAGTCTACACACACACACACACACACACACACACACACACACAAACACACAAACACTTCCTAAATTTCTAAACTTTCAAAATACTTAATAATAAACTGATCTATTTTATAGTGCTCCACAAGGGAAAAAAATGTGTCACCTTACAAAGCCAAGTACTTTCAACTGAGCAACACTGGATGAATCTTAGATATTCTCTAAACTAAGTCCAGCCTTCTTCTCTTTCCCACAGTGAGTCATAGAAACTAGTTCTTCCTCAATGCAGTCATGACATTGACCAGTAAAACCCCATCCTCCTCTGTGGATCTTTGGAAAGGCTAGCCATAAGGACATGATCTGACATATAATGGCTAATTACAGGTCACAGACATGACATTCCAGAGGTGACAGGCTAAGCCCAAGTCGTGGGTAATTCCAGAAAGACTGAGAGGGGATGGATGACACATATAAGTTGTTCTGAGCAACTTCTTAGTTCAGTTATGACATCTTGTTCTTTATTCAGTCCTACTTACATATACTTGTTCATTCTGTACTGAAATTACTCATAAACAATGACAGCTTTCTCCAGCTATTTGGGGCTTCATCTCTGACAGGTCCAGATGTTTCCTTAAGGCTCTGGAGGCTGTGGACTAAAGGGCACCAAAGCTAAAGCAAGTAGGGAGTTTGTCAAGATGTGACGAAATCACGGCTTAGGTACAAACGCCTGTTGGTATAATCGGAACACCTCCCCTGCTTCTAAAGCCAAGAGTAAGTACAGTTCAACACTCCGGCATTTCTAGTTGTTTGCAACAGAAACCACTTCACTCCCACATTTGGTAAAATATCTATATCTTAAAGGATCTTAAAGGTAATCCTCAATTTTTCACTTACGGTGATCACTACAGTAAAAAAATATATATATTAAGAAGTAAATATTACATATAATTTAATCTTATTTTACTGACATATTATTATATCCACTTACAAAAGTCTAAGGGTTTATCCCAGTGCTGCAGGAGAAAAAAACAGACAGACAGAAAAAGAACACAAATCAAGGGCCTTTGCTTCCTATCCTTGAGTGAGAATGCGTAATTCCCATAAGCTTTATTGTATCACACAAAATGTTCTATTGTTTTCAAGATGGCAAATCTGAAACGAATGCCGTGGGGTTATGTCATAGAACAATCTTTTTGTACACTGTGAAGAGTGTTTCTCTCGTTGTTTTAATAAAGAGATAAATGGCCGACAGCTAGGCAGAGAGAGGTTAGGTGGGGCTTGTGGACAGGGAGAGAACTCTCTGGGATGTCAGACAGACAGAGGGAGCAAAGCATACAAGAGGACAGCTAATGTCATGAGTCATGAGGCAACATGTGATGGACAAGAACGGGTCAGTTTAAGCGGTAACAACTCTAAGATGTCAGCCAAGGCTGTATAGTTAAGAAATCTCTGTGTGCTTATCTGGGAGCTTGCTGGAGGGACAGAAAAGTCTGTCTACAGGGCTGTATCGAGGAATCTGGGGAAAACGGCCTTCATTCTTTATTATGCAATTTCCATGACCACATACACTCCTCTCCTGACTTTCTTGCTTCATTTCTTGGCAAAAATGCCCAAATATTTAAGTCAGTGATAATAAAGTTCATCTTTCCCTATAGAGATCTGTAACTTAGTCACATCTGCAAAGCCTCCTCTTCCGGAAGATGATGCTCCTAAAGGTCAGGAGTTCAGAACCAAGAGTCCCCATAGACAGCCACTCCTCTCTTCATGTTCTCAGTGGACAAAGATTTCTGAAGTTCAGATTTTGAACTGTGACTGACTTTGTCCATAAACTTCTATTAAGATTGCAAGATTGCCAGTCAAATGTGTATGTTGAAACTCTCTCAATATATGCTGTGTTCCATGGATATCTATCACAGATAACCCTCCTAAATACTTAATGACTATAGCAGAGTTATAGGAGCTTTAAATACGTTAGAATTGGACAACAAATGGAACCTGGTGATTCACTCATAGAGAGAAACCTAATGCAGCCAAGAGTGATTCTTCATTAGAAAGTCCAGAGATTTCAATTAGCCCAAGTAATATTTTTGGTAGATTAGGTGTTGGGCAGGCATTTAGGAGGAAAAGTAGGCAAGTTGCTTACCTTAAATAATAAATCTTTCTTCCCATAACGGAGCTCTTTCAGTTGGGCTTGGATTTTTTTCGACTGTAAAAGCAGAGGTATGTGTTAGTAGTTATGCTCACTTATATTTTTAATCTTGAAGATTTAAAATTATTTCCACACTACACAGGAATAAATCCTTCAGCCTACTCAAATAGAAGCCTATAATTTGGACAATCAACAGAGAAGACTAAATTTAGCTTTGACATCAGACATGTAGACATCTGGGTCAGGAAGCAAGAATTCACCCCGTTTAAAAAAATTATCTGTTTACAAAGGTGTTATTTAAATAACCTTTCTGTGTTCTACTCAATACATAAACATACAAAATATCTGCAATTTAAACATGACAAAAAAATCTAGTTTTAAGTAGCAAAGACATGTGTGTAAGTGAATCTCTCTTTTTATTTAATTACTTTTTAAGATCAATGATGGGTAAGTGTAAATGAATGGACATGTTTTAATTCACTGTATTTTCAATGGGAACTAACAAGCAAATGGACAGAATGCCAGCAAAATTCTATAATTGAAAGGAGGACTGAGTTACAGAAGACCACATTTTATAACAGGATCCTTATAAACATAAAAATGTTTAACAATGACATACTGTTATACACATTTACCACATCCTTATAATTTATATGTAAGCAGCAGAAGGCCATGTATCCTTAGCCTTTTAGAAAAGGCATCGTTACCAATACTGTAATGGGAGTACTTCAGTTCATTCTTTCTACTCTTGAAATAATAGGTCCTCATACGTCATTGGGGAGAAACATCCATACATGCACATATACACATGATCCTGGGCAAATGTACAAAACGTAATGAAGAATAGTAGGTTCTTACTTCTTTAGTCCACATTCTAAAATCAGAATGATGTCAAAAATAACAGGCTGTAAGATCTGAAATTACTTGAAAGTTTGTGAAGCAGTCCAGGACAGCTTTGCTTATGAACTCAGAGCAATTGTGATAGCATTCACCAAGCCTTTCAAACCAAAGCTAGACCAAATTCCAGGATGGAAAGGACAACTAGTGTTTCCCATGGATGAGCTCCCAGGTACCAGTGATTAGCCCTGCCCATGCAGGCAACACTAAACAGACCCAACAGATAGTATTTATATATTTTATATGCGTGTCTAACATGTGATCAAAATAGATAGTCTGTGAATTTGCGGGGTAGTAGGAATTAGGAACATGGGAAGAATAAAAGGTGAGAAAGACAGGAGCAATGATGTAATATTTTAATTAAATTAAACATATTTCTTGAGAAGTTGGTAACAAAGCCAACCATTTGAAGTTTTTGCTTTGTTTTGTCTTTGAAAAGGATCCCATGTTTACCAAAAGTTACCTTCTTTTCCTGATATGTGTAATGTCAGAATATGAAGACCAAAGTTTACTAGCGACAACATAGAATTGTCAGAGGCTGGTAATAAAGAACACTTACACACAACCCTTTGGCTGCTGAACTTACACTTTTATGTTAGAATTAATACTTCCTGTAATTGCTTTCCTTCAGAGTTTCCCCAGTGTTCAAAGTGATAATACCTGGTTCACAGCCTTGTCTCACACTAAAATTTTCTCTGTCGTGATTCTGATGCACATTCATTTTAGTAGAGGACAATCCTGTTCCACCTGGTCTCCGGGACTCTCAGCTAAGCCCGAAGAGTCTCTCAGGGAAACAAATAGAGTTGATAGGTGTGAGTGGGAACTGGCTGATCACTGCTGGAGATCACACAAATGTGTGATCCGTCCAAGGCCATCTTCAAGCATGATAATTAGTGCTGTCATTTACAGAAGTCCAAACTACTAATATTAACTATTTGTGACATCCATTTGCAATTTATTTTACATAGAAGGTGGACATTATGATCTAAACTTTTCATTATAACAATAAATATTTAAAGCACCATTAGGTAGTGGTTTTAGTACACAAAATTAGAATTAAATCAATATTTTCCCTGTTTTTTCTTTTTGTGTGTGTGTGCATGTGTGAGTAAGTGTGTATGTGTGTGTGTGTGCACATGTACACATGTATGTGTGTGTATTTAGTGACCACATCATGGCAGATTTCTTGGCCTTTATTATCATGAAGATAACTTAGGAATTGTTTGTACTCACATGTCATCTGAATTTTACAGTTCACACCTAATTTTCAGTATACTAAATCAATATACAAAATCCTTTCTCATGTTTTCTCAAAGAGTATGCAAAAACAAACATTTCTGAAGGAATATATCCACTCTGGGATGTATGTTATTTTGAAACCATATAGCATGCTAACTGTCTTAACTTGTCAGCAATATTTGATTAAGTCAAAATTAACCAAAGGGATAAGCCTCTAGCAAATAATACAATATTTAGAGTGTCAGTAATTTTATTTTTACTACATAGATAACTGTAAATGTAATTCCAAATATCAGTTCATGAAGGTCACGAGTGTCTGCATGTGCATGAACTAATTACAGCTGGGAGTAATGATAATGGCAGCCAGAAGAAAATGATGATGAGGATGTAGGCAGCCATGACAGAACATTTTAGCTCCATAGTCTCATTTAGCAGACAACTATCTAATTTGAGATTCTTTCCTGCAAATTTATGTTCAAATAATTTTCCCTTTATGAAATAATAGTGGTGGTGGTGGCAGATGGTGTTGGTAGTATTTGCAGTTTTTAATGTTTGTTGTATAACTATTTTCTGTGGATTGAAACATTAGTTCTTAGAGGAGGGAGGCTCTAAGACTCCGGAAGCTGATTATTGTTCACTATGCTCAGGAAGCCCAGGAATTTAGAAGCCTCCTGGCAGCCTCGACAAGGTTATATAAACAGTGGCGATTTCTGGGTAGCAGGGAATCTCTAACCCACTAAGCTGCCTTCCATCGTTGCACCAAGGCCAGAGAGATGCAGCTTTTTTGAACGTTTGCCCATGCTGTGTGAGGATTTCTATGATGCAGCTGCCTTTATTCATTCTGTTTCTAGTGCCCTATGTGCGGTGAATACATATTTATTCACCTCTCCCCAGGAAAAGCCACAGTACATGTTCTTCTATGCCAAATCACAGCATATTTCATTCCTGTGAGGGTATGGAGCCGAGAGCTGGTGGTCTCCAGCAGAAAAGACTGTTATTATGTTTTAAGAAACAATGATGAATCAAATAGTAAAAGTTCGTATGTGTTATTTTAAAATACTATTGTGACAGTGTAAACATTTCCCTTCTTATCTGAATACTGAACTCTAATATTGTTCTATAAATATTTAACAAGATACAGGAAAGAAAATAAGTTAGGTGAACTAATGACATTCCAACCATCAAGGAAATAGCATGAAGAACACAGCGATGAACAAATGAGATTAATTTCCACTGAGCTGAGGGAAATTAGGAACATTCTTGAATGAAGAGGATAAACTCTAAAGGTTTAGGAACTATTTTATTTTCTGAACACCATCGATACTGCTAGCGCCCTCATCTCTCCTGTACTTGAGTTTTGTGGGGGCCCTGGTAACATGTTCAGTGTATCTTTTATCCAGATATTTTCTATCTTTTGTTCATTTCTTGAGATAGGGTCTTAAGTGGTTCCCTCAATAATTACTCAAGAGTCACTGTTGTAGCTGAGAATGACCTTGAACCCTTGGTTCTCCATATATATATATATATATATATATATATATATATATGTATGTATGTATATATATATATGAAACTTATTATCAAAATGATCATATCACATGTAAGCTTTGAGGTATGGTGTCTTTTTGATAATGGCTTTGCCTCAGAATATATTTTGAGCTCTCATATTGCCTATATTGCCTAAGGACGTAACCTTGTTTTTACAGACAGGAGAGTAAGGGAGATTGTGCTTTTTCCCAACTGGAAGACTCAAGACAATGTTTCTATTCCACCAAGAAAATGTCCCTTTTCCATCTATAGAAAGGTGATGCGAAAGTGATTCTTGACAAAGGGGCAGTGAGGTAATTTCATCGTTAGATAATGATGGATCGGTCTGAGTAGCTCTCGTCTTCTGTCTGGACATCTAAGGAGAGGAGGGTCAACTTTCTATTAAGCTTCCCGCCTTCCCCGTTTCTTCATAGCCATCAGGTCTTACTGGAGTGGAAAAGCTATTCCATATAATTTATGGGATTTTCCAGTATGTAATTTGTCTTCACATATGCTTTCTATATATTCCTGGGACACAGGGACTCTTGTTTCATGTCTTTAAATTACCCTTCTTGTAAACTTCATTATTACTTTACTACTATCCTTAATAGTTCCTACAAGCTACCATCAATTTTGAATTTAGCACCAGGTCAAAATTAGATAAAACTGACTATAGTGAATCCATATGTATTACTCAGAATGTTTGTTCCTGCTTGAGTAACATATGAGAAAATATTGTTGCACGGGAAATAGGTGTATTTGCTTGGTAAACTAATATAACTTTAGGAACTTTGCTGGTGGTGTATAGATGTCACAAATCATTAGGAAAATACAATGGGTATCTGATAATTTCCTATTGGGGAGAATTGGTTCACACAACTGAGGTAGGCTTTAGAGAATTATCTTATGAGTATGGCACTGGGTACATTTTTATTTATTTTTTTTTCATTTGTGTAATGTGGAAAAAATTAGATACATACAACACTAAAATGTATTTTATTTTGTATCCAGTACGTGATAGGGGAAAAGGCAATTTAATTTAATTTTAACCAGTTAAACTTGTGAAAAGGTCACATTCACTCACCTCTTCTGCATGAATCCCACACAGCTTACTTCCTGACAACAGTTTGTTTTTCAAGCTTTTATTCTGAGGAAAGAAAGAGTAGTTTACACAAAATGTGGTAATTAAGAACTTCCTCATTTAATCCAGCCATATCACTCTATGTTTGGCTGGCAGATTAAAGTTGCATGTTATGTAAAGAATTTGTAAGAGTTTGTTTCCTCATTATAAAACCATCTCTTCAACTAAAATTTTTGTCAATGAATATTAGGTTGTTTACTCAAAAAAATAAAACTTTGGCCAATGAGATGGCTCAGTAGGTCAAGATACTTGGCACCACGTGAGAAAACCTGAGTTGTGTCCCATGATCTCACGTAATGGGAGGAGAAAACTGATTCCCAAAAGGGGTCTTAATATCTCTACAGACACACCATAATGCATGAAGATGAACACACACACACACACATACACACACACACACACACACACACACACACACACGGGAGGGGGTTGGGCACATATACAAATGTAAAGAGAAAATTAAAATACAAAAATTTACCTAGAGATTTTCTTCACTTACGTTTCTTCACTTTCACATGTAGTCTGATAAAATAACCTCAGCCCCACATGAGCTCTGCATGCTACCTTCTGCATGCATCTCTCTGATGGCACCTGCACCAGGGGCACCATAGTGCCATTCCAAATAAGTCACATACTCAAAGAGCATCTGTGTTTCCCCTGGAGACTCCTTTCTGAATTATAACCTATGGATAGACTTCGTATTTAAAGGTTCTTTCGTGTTTAGAAGCCAGCTCTGATTTCAGGCCTCAGAAGCGAGTGATTTGTTAATCCTATAAATCTTCCAGCATTGGCAGAGGCTGGGCCATAAACATTTGTTTCGCTGAGTCTTCCTGGCCTTATGAGAAAAACCAGAGGTGTGTAGCACAGAGGCTGGGCTATGCTGGCTTACAGCTCCACTACTGAAATACGGGCCTCACAAACATTCATTTCCATCTGCAAAGCATAGAGAAATCCAAATGAAAATGGAGTATTTTTACCTCCATCCCTAACTTTTAATCTTCTTTGTCTCTCCTTTGAGGCTCCATTTGACAGTTCATCAAAAAGCCAGGCTCACTCCCTTTCTAATGTTCTTACCTTCTCACTGAATCTATGGCATTCTCAGAAGAAACTCCAAAAAATAAGACAAGAGTCTCAGTCTTTTCCATTGAATGAGAGAGGCCAGGAACTATAAACACAGCAGCTTTCAAAGCACAGAGAATCTGACACTTCCACACTAGGCTTTCTTTATTCTCTCTTAATGAGACTTTCTGCTCTAGTCAAGGTAGGCTGTCACTGTTCCTGATTCAGGCAGCCTGGTAGACCAGTTGCCCAAGTGTATAAATTGCCACTATGCACCTCATGTCTACATTCATTTCAATTTCTGTTAGTGTCCATGAAATTTTCTGCCTGCACATGGTGAAAACAACCCTCATTCCTGCTTTTGTTTTTGTTTTGTTTTTTTTGTTTTTTGTTTGCATCAGAAGGCAAAGAGGGTGGGGAAAGGGATAGGGAGAGGGGACCAGGTAATCATTTGTTAAAAGTTTTCATAAAATTTATTTTGATTCTGGAATAACTTCAGAAACCAGGAAAAAAAAAAAAAAAGAAAACATGTCGGGGGTGGGGATAGGAAGGCCATAGAAAAGGAGATAACCTTTTATAATATGGTCTGGGAAATGGAGAAAGCAGGGCCTAATCAAGGGAGGTAAAAACAAAAGAAGGAGGGAAGAAGGTAAAACATACACACACACACACACACACTCACACACACACACTCACACACACACTAACACACTCACTCACACACAAACCACACACACACTCACACACACACTAACACACACACTCACACACACACTCACACACACAAACCACACACACACTCACATACACACTAACACACACACAAACCACACACACACACTCACACACACACTAACACACACACAAACACACACACAAATCACATACACACACACTCACTCACACACACAAACACACACACACTCACACACAAACACACACACTCACACACAAACACACACACACACACACACACACACACACACACACACATTGTTTAAAGGAATTCTTCTCATCTGAGCTGACAAGATTCCATCCAAGAGCCAAATCCACCTAACAAAGACAGCAACAGGCTAGGACACAGATCTGTAGTTCCTTTCCCAAGCACAAGCCCTGACCCAGATGAAAACTGTAGGTTCCTTTCCCAAGCACAAGCCTAGGAGGAAAGTCTCCAGGTCAAATCTAGGCCCAAGAGCAGGGCAGAAAAAAAAGAACTAGGTAACTGTTTGCAGGGAAGTGCAGAAAGAAAAATAGAATGGAGAGGGGCAAAACTATTGTTTGATCAATCACTCCTTGCAATGTTTTTTCCTAGCAGACAGATAAAGAAAGTGTAAACAGCAATATAAAATCATTCATTCTTGATGGTCAGGGAAGCATGTAGGTTGACTGCAGATTTCACTCCTCTGTTTCTTCAAATCCAATCCCTGAGTCCCACCCCCAGCTCTGCAGGGAACCCCCGCTGAACTCCCCAACAAGTCCCCACTTTCACAAACCTTCCCCTCTTAACCGCCCTTCCCCCAGGCATTGCTTAACACCAATTCCAACAGGCAATCCCTGGGAACACTCTGGACAGGGAGGCAGGTAGGCTGACTGCAGAGCTTCACCTGTCCCTCATTTTCTCCAGGTTCAACTACTCTCATCCCAGCTCTGTAGTAGCCCTTCTGCTGTTGGTATTTTTACAAAATTGAACACATACTCAGGCACAAAGCAAGTCTCAAAAAATGCAATAATATTGAAATAATACCCTGCATCCTGTTTCACCACTACAGATTAAAGGTGAATATGAACAATAAAGACAATAGGAAGCTTACAAACTCATAGAATCTGAACAGCTCACTACTGAGTGAAAAATGAGTCAAGAAAGAAATTTAAAAACTCTCTAGAACTGAATGAAAATGAATACATAGCATATCCCAAATATGTTGACACAATGAAGAAGTTCCTAAGAGTCAAGTTCATAGCACTAAGTTCCTACATAAAATGTTAGAGAGATCCCATACTATTAACTTAACAGCATACCTGAAAGCTCTAGATCAAAAAGAAGAATTCACACCCTGGAATAGATAGGAAGGAATAAAAATGCAGTGGTGAAATCAATAAAATAGAAATAAAGAGAAAAACACAAAGAATCAATGAAACAAAGAGTTGGTTCTTTGAGATAATCAATAAAATTGACCAACACTTACCAAATTAACTAAAAGGCAGAAATAGAGTATACAAATTGGGTAAGTTACAAATGAAAATGGGAATATAAAAAGAAATGGTGAAAAAATCCAGAGAATCATAAGGACATACTTTAAAAACCTGTACTCCACCAAAAGAAATGGATAATTTTCTTGATACATACCACTTACCAAAGGCAATAAATCAAGGTCAGAGAAGCCAATCTTATAACAACTAGTGAAATAGATGCAGTTATTAGAAGTCTTCCAACTAAAAATGGCCATGGCCAGATGGTTTTAGTGCAGAATTCTACCACACTTTCAAAAAAGAGTTAATGCCAATATTCCTCAAATTATTTCAGAAAATAGAAACAGAAGGATCATTGTCCATTTTATTTTCTGAGGCCACAGCTACCTTGATACCTAAAGCACATAAACATTCAATAAGGAAAGATGATTTTCCTTATGAACACAGATGCACAAATTGTCTCCAAACCTAGAGAGAACCAATAACCAATAACCAAACCAAACCAAAACTCTAAAATTGAACCTAAGAACACATCAAAGATCATCCTCTATGCTCAAATAGGCTTCATCTCAGAAATGCAGGGATGGTTCAATATAAAAAAAATTGATAAATGTAATACAACATATAAATAGACTAAAAGACAAAAACAAATATGATAATCTTAAAATGCCTTTGATGAAATTCAACACCCCTTCACTGTAAAATTCCTGCAGAGATTAGGGACTCAAGAAATATGCATCAACAAGACAAAGGCAGTTTACCACAAGCCTACAGCCAATATTAACCTACAAGGAGAGAAGCTCCAGCATCCTCCAGCATTTGTTTCCAATGGCTGCGACTCAATAACATTAGTCAAAGGGTAGTAGAGGAGAGTTGTGAAGGAGAACTATGCTATTGCTAAGGATAAATCTGAAGAGCCATCAACAAAAGTGGCATGCCTGTGCTGTTTCTTCTTCTAACAACAGCTGAGCATCCTCAGTACAGACCTTCAAAATAGCATTCCTATGATCTTTGTTTCTGTGACGGATTCTTGGGAGTGTAAAGGAAGTAATAACATAAATATTTGACAAATTTGGAAACACACATTTTCTCTTGGAATCTTGAGATGTGGAAACTGTGATTTACGAGTACGTTATTCAGCGTTCACAAATTATCACTTACTGCCAAGGAACACGGGCAGTCGATATTTCCTTCATATCCACCAGCAGTTTCCGGCATCCATTTTAAGTTCTAAAGCTGTGATCCTTGTGCTGTTATCCACAGCCTTAATTACCAGCGTAGGATAGGTCCTCGAGAATGTTAGCTACATTGATGGATTTAGTAAAGATCATGACCTGCTTCTGAAGGTTTTCTAAGTAAAGAATGTTAGGCTGAAGCCCTGTGTGACTCTGGAGTAGAAAGTAAACCCCATGAGCTGCTTATTTAGGTATCGACTCTCACCTGGATGTGTTCAGAAGTGGAATGACGTCAGGACCCAAACATCCTACTCTTTTTTTGGCATTCCAGCTCACGCTTATGTTTGAAATTCTTAGGGATGCTATTTAACAATACACAATGTTTGTATTTTAAAACACAAGTCCAAATGTGTTATAGTATAGGCAAACTATTCTTTGCTATTTTCATGTCTATGCGTGTATGCATATGTGACAATCCACCATATGCATTCAGCATTCACAGAGACCAGAAAATGGCATTTGACCCTGTAGAACTGGCATGAAAGGGGGTTATTGGTCACCATCTGAATGCTATAAATGGAACCTGGGTCTCTGTAATAAATCACTATATAGGAATCACTGAGCCATCTCTCCAGA